TTTTTGCTCTCTCTCCCCGCAGATACAAACCAACAATTCTTTGCACTGTAAAACAACTCTACATGACTTCCCATCGAATGTGAAGCATTTTGACTCTTAGCTCTGACTGGCCTCACTGTGATGTCCCTTTTATTTACTTTGTCCACCATTGTGCATTGTACAAACATTCCTCCGTCTTTGACTAGAGTTTACTTTCACTTTTCAAAGATTCTTTCCGGCCCCTGAAGGTGTACCGAAGACCAAGGTGAGTGGAAAAGCTGTTAAGATAACTAAGAATACATGATTTGTGTGTGTGTATATGTGTGTTTCTTTTGTACCTATGACTATTAATCAGTCTTATTTGACCGTGTTTTTTTTTCTCTTTCTCTTTATTTGTGACAACTTTTATTTCTATCAGTTCCCAATGATTTATTTCAAAATATGCTTCCATTCTTTATCATTTATTTTTTGCAAATAATGACGTTTCTTTTCTTTTCTTTCTTTCTTTCTTTCTTTCTTTCTTTCTTTCTTTCTTTCTTTCTTTTTCTTTCTTTATTTAAATTTCTTTCGTTTGCTCTTGTTTGCTGGGATCCATCGACTTTTCTTTACATTTTTGTCTGAACTATTTTACATTACCATTCATTCCTTCATTCATTCATTCCTTCTTTTTTTCTTTTTTCTTTCTTTTTACTTTCCTTTTTCTTACTTTCTTTCGTTCTTTTCTGCTTATATCTACACATCTGGATTACTTCCCAGTTCCTTCTTTCTTTCTTTCTTTCTTTCTTTCTTTCTCAGTCTTTTCTCACCTATCTATCTATCTATCTATCTATCTATCTATCTATCTATCTATCTATCTATCTATCTATCTCAATCTTTTCCTATCTATCTATCTATCTATCTATCTATCTATCTATCTATCTATCTATCTATCTATCTATCCCAGGTTTTTACTATCTATCTATCTATCTATCTATCTATCTATCTATCTATCTATCTATCTCAGGTTTTTACTATCTATCTATCTATCTGTCTATCTCAGGCTTTTACTATCTATCTATCTATCTATCTATCTATCTATCTATCTATCTATCTATCTATCTATTCTTATTCTTTCTTTCTTTCTTTCTTTCACTTTAGTTCTATCTTTCTATCTTTCGTTTTCTCTCTCTACACTTCTTTATTTTGTCTCTGGTTATTTCTGTCTTCGCTTTATTCACTTTCATTCTTTCTTTCTTTCTTTCTTTTTTTCTTTCTTTCTTTCTCTTAATTGTCCGTTTTTCTTAGATTTCTTTCTCTTTTATCATTTACGCATTCTTTTTCTCTTTTTTCTTTCCTTGTTTCACTTCCTTCCTTCAGTGAAGCCATTTCCACTTTAGGGCATATCAGGCATGAATAACCTCGTTAGGGACACAAAAGAAGATACGCATGCGCACACTCGCACAAACGCGCGCGCACACACACGCACACACACTCACAGAAACAAACAATAGGAAAAAAATCAAGAAGAAACAACAAACAAATAAATGAATGTCCACTCAAGAAGGGTGTGGTCAATGCTTTATGGGACGATGACCTTGCCTAGTGCGACCCATCAAAGTCAAATTGTTGCAGGCATCACTTGCTTAAAAAAAAATCGGTGGGGAAAAAGAGGCTTTATTCTGAATTTTCTACCCGGCGGCCATTTTTTCTCACGGTTCGTTTTCTTCCTTATTTTTTGGAAAAAGGAAGTTCAATTCAAAATGCATCAGTCAAAATACTAAAGCCCCAAGGGAAATAACTCTAATCCAGATCTTCTTTGCTTCTATTTACGCTGCTTTTTTTTTTCTCTTGTGATTCTTTTGTTAATTTGAAAAATCTAAAAGGAATTTTAAGAGTAAATACTGGCGTGGAGAGATATTAGGTTGGAAAGAATATAACATCGCCATTTTTTGACATGATCAATTTGGAGGTAGTTTTTCAATACTCAGCGTAAAATAACCATTAATAATCTATCAGATTTCGTTTATCTTTACAGATCTGATAAATCTGATGAACTTTACACTCGAGTGTTTTATCAATTTGCCAAATAGATGCTCTTCTTCCTTTTCTGCTTCTTCACGTTTCCTTTTTCCGACTTTCTTGTGTCCCTTCGTTGTCTTCTTCATCTTCCTTTTTGCATTTCCTCTCTCCTTTTCTTTCCTTCTTGTCGACGTTTATTTTTTCCACTCTTTCTGTTGCTTCTTCTTCTTCACTATCACCATCATCATCTGTTTTTACTTCTTGTAAACGTTACCTTCCCGCTCTTTCTTCTTCTTTTTCTTCTTCTTCTTCTACTTCTTTTTTAGCTTTTCTTTTTGACGCTACCTTTTCCCGCTATGTCTTTTTCTTCTTCATTATTTGCATTACGTCTCTTCCTTTGTCTTCATTTCCCCCTTCTTCTTGCCATTTTTTATTCACGCTCTAAACTTTCTTCTTCTTCTTCTTCTTCTTCTTCTTCTTCTTCTTCTGTTTTTACTTTTTGTTAACGTTACCTTTCCCGCTCTTTCTTCTTCTTCTTCTTCTTCTTCTTCTTCTTCTTCTTCTTCTTCATTATTTGCATTACGTCTCTCCCTTCGTCTTCATTTCCCCCTCCTTCTTGCCAATTTTATTCACGCTCTTACTTCTTCTTCTTCTTCTTCTTCTTCTTCTTCTTCTTCTTTTCATCGTTATCTTCTTCTTCGTCTTGTTTCCCATCTTCTTGTTGACATTTATTATTCTCTTTCTTTTTCTTCTCTTTCTTCTTTTCATTATCCCCCTCTCTTCATTTTTTTCTTTTCTTCTTGATGATTACTTTTCCCATTCTTTCTTCTTCGTCGTCTTTTCGTAATCATTAACATCTGTAATTTATTCTTCTTGTTGACTTCACCTTCTTCTTCTTCTTCTTCTTCTTCTTCTTCTTCTTCTTCTTCTTCTTCGTCGTCTTTGTCGTCTTCATCTTCTTCTTCGTCTTCTTCATCGTCTTCTCCATTGTCTTCTTCGTCTTTTTCTTTGCTTCTTCTTCGTCTTTTTCATCTTCTACTTCTTCGTCTTCGCCTTCGTCTTCTTCTTCATCTTCTTTATTACACTGCGCCTTTCTCTTCGTCCTCTTCTTTCTTGTCGATGTTTACTTCTCCCGCATCTCCTCCTCCTCCTTTTTTTACTCGTTTCGTACTTTGAAAGAACTTCTTCAGGACTCTAATATATATCGGTCGTTGGGAACGAAATAAAACAAATGTTTGTTACAATGTTACGTCAAGAAACATTGAAGAAACAATCAATCTTATCATTAAATTTATTTTCTTTTTTCGCTTTCCGATGTATCAAAAGACATAAACTGATTGATTTCTTTCACATTTCTTCTTCTTCTTCTTCTTCTTCTTCTTCTTCTTCTTCTATGTCCCTTCAGGACGTAGGTGGTCATGGTTCTCCACAACTTCCGGTCTATGACTTCAAATAAATGTTTGTTTTTGTGCTATCGCTGCCATCCCCTGTTCTGTTAACTATTTACGAAGGTCCGTTAGGGAAGTTATTGGTAGCATTTCTCCGTTCGTCTTGCTTTTAATATATCCTATGAGTGTCAAATTTTTCAAGCCCTCTTTCCTCGTATGTACAATAGAAATTTCAACTTTATCTTTCAGATGTTAAGCGACTCTTTTGTTACCATTTTCTATAAAACTTCGTCACGTTTAGACCCTGGTAGTTTCAGCATCCTCCTGTAGTATCAGATTTCTGTTGCTTCAAATCTCTTCATCCGTGAGGAGATTGTCTAGAATTCACTGTCATATATGAGCACCTATATTACATTATTGTTCTTCTTCTTCCTTTGTTACTAACAAAATTTTCTTATTTCTTAATATGTTGCTTAGCTTCTGAAAGACACCTTTCGCTATCCCAATGAGCTTTCGGTTATCAGTGTCACACTTCCCATCTGTTAAAAGTGTTTCTATATATTTAAATTATTGCGCTTGTTTCATTTTCGTATGTCCAATTTGTAATTTATAGATTGCGCCGTTTCTTCTGCTGCGCTCTGTCTTCTTGCAATTGATGCTTAGTCCTTTCTTCTCGCCTTCCTTTATTATATTATATTGTTGTTTCTGTAGTGCCCTTTCTGTAACTTTTATAAAAATAAAAAGAGACGGGTGTAACATAAAAGAAATAAAGTAAGTTCTTTTGAAAAGGTCAGATGAGGTAAGATTCCGAATTGGTCAAAGGCTAAATAAATCTATTTTGTGTCTGGGCATCACAATGTCCCTCTAAGATATCCCTTGCTACCTACTTGACAACTCTTTACGGTGTCGTTTCAGGGCGTGTGTGATCATGACACTGCACAACATACTGTTTTTTGTAACCGTTAATAAAGTTTTTCTTTTCTTTTTACTATATCCTAATCGTAGTTCTGCAATTATTTACACAACGTCGTTAGGCAAATTATATGATGCTTAGCTCTATCTCTCTTGTTTTATGAGTGTCAAATTTTCCAAACCCTCTTTCCTCATTATGTGCCACAGAATATTCAACTCTTACTTTCAGATTTTAAGTATAGGTGTCCCTTTTGTTATCATTTTCTATAAAACTTCGTCATGTTTAGTCCATTCTCAGCATCCTTCTGTAGAACCATATTTTTGTTGCTTCATATCTCTTCTTCCTCCGTCAGGAGATTTTCTAGAATTCACTGTAATATACAGGAACCTATATTGCATTATTGTTCAGTACTCTTTTCTTTGTTCATTTTCCTGCTTTTTATTACGTTGCTCAGCCTTGCTACTTCAATGTATTCTTCTCTTACTATGTGTCGCGTCCCTTCAGAACATAGGCGATTATGGCTCTCCACAGCTTTCTACCTCGTGTGTCTCTTAGCAGTTTTTCTCCCTTTGCTAAGACCCCTGGAAGCTCTACTTCCCATCCATTCACACATCAGGGAATATATGGAGAAAGAAAAAATGCCTAAGAAGTTGAACGAATACAATGTAGAATTATTCTACATAAAAGAAATAAAGTAAGTTCATTTGAAAAGTAGTTCTGCAATGACTTACACAACGTCGTTAGGCAAATTATATGATGCTTACGGCTATCTCTATTGTTTTATGAGTGTCAAATTTTTCCAAACGCTTCTTCTCCCCCTCCTTTTTCTTTTTTACGCGTTTCGTACTTCGAAAGAACTTCTTCAGGACTCTAATATATATCGGTCTTTGGGAACAAAATAAAACAAATGTTCATTACAATGTTACATCAAGAAACATTGAAGAAACAATAAATCTTATCATTAAATTTATTTTCTTTTTTCGCTTTCCGATGTATCAAAAGACATAAACTGACCGATTCCCTTCACATTTCTTCCTCTTCTATGTCTCTTCAGGACGTAGGTGATCATGGTTCTCCACAACTTCCGGTCTATGATTTCAAATCAATGTTTGTCTTTGTGCTATCACTACCATCCCTTATTCTGCTAACTATTTACGAAATTTCGTTAGGTAGGTTATTGGTAGCATTTCTCTGTTCGTCTTGCCTTTAATATATCCTGAGAGTGTCAAATTTTCCAAACCCTCTTTCCTCATTATGTGCCATAGAATTTTCAACTCTCTCTTTCAGATTTTAAGTATATGCGTCCCTTTGTTGCCATTTTCTATAAAACTTCGTCATGTTTAGTCCATTCTCAGCATCCTTCTGTAGAACCATATTTTTGTTGCTTCATATCTCTTCTTCCTCTGTCAGGAGATTTTCTAGAATTCACTTTAATATACAGGGACCTATATTATATTATTGTTCAATACTCTTTTCTTTGTTCATTTTCCTGCTTTTTATTACATTGCTTAGCTTCGGAAAGATATCTTCGCTAACCTAATGAATCTTCATTTATCTGTGTCACGCTTTTCATCATCTGTGAAAAATATTCCAATATATTTATTTTTTTTTGCGCTCGTTTCATTTTGGTATCTCCAATTTTCTAATTTGTATATTACGCTGTTTTTTCAGCTGACAACTCGGCTCTCTGTCTTCTTGAAATTGATGCTTAGTCCTTTCTTCTTGCTTTCCTTTATTATATTCTATTGGCATTTCTGTAGTTTCATTTCTGTATCTGTTATCAGCACTGTGTCATTTGCATATATTAGCCTGGAAGTAATTACAATTCTCTCAAATCGCCTCATATAAAGATTGAATAAGTTATGTGGAAAAAAGAATGAAAAAATCGTTGACTTCCGCCATTTTCTATTTTTGTGTTGATAATGAATTCATTTTTATTCTGTATAAAAGACATGCACATCTATAGTATTTCGTTCTTCAGATATTACTGGTTTTAGTTTTCATCATAGTACGTTCATATTTTTTACTGAATTTTCACCCAATTATTTGGAATCAGAAGAAAAAACAGTAAGTTATAGAGAAACAAATAACACTTAAGAACCCCCCCCCCAAAGAAAAAACACTAAACTAATTGAGTTTCTTTTTTCCATGTTTCCAGATAACACGTTTAGCCATCTTAGCAACATTTGTTGTAAGAATCACTGAAAAAAAATCAGAGGAAAAAAACGGGTGGACCAGATGGAATTATAGCAAATATGATCATAAATTTGCACTTTGCTAAGTACAGTATTAGTAATAATAATAATAATAATATATATATATATATATATGTGTGTGTGTGTGTTATTGATGCATGTTTCATTAAATAATATAGACAAGTTTTGTCTTTTTTTAAGTAAGTTTCTTTCATATTGACTGATAAGCTTAATAGTATTATCATTGAAAGAGGAAAGGAAATTACCATATTGCTATATGGTTAAATCCACTCTAAGCTTTCGGCTTACATAAGCCATTATCAAAGATGTCAATTACATTTCAGTATGTCAAAGAATACACGGACGAAACAATAATGATAGTCTGTTTTTGTTGCATGAAAAATTTCAAAGCAACGACAAACTCGGGTATACGAGACGCGGAAGCGAAAATCGCGTCGCAGCGCGTGACGTCTCACATGACCACGCGAGAGTGAAAACGAGAAGTATTAAGTATGAGAAGCCGTTGGTATAAACCAATGGCTTCTGTTTTACACACACACACACACACACACACACACACACACACACACACACACACACACACACACACACACATACATACATACATACATACATACATATATATATATTTCCCTCGTTCCATTTTGAATAATTTTGTAATATTTTAGACCTAATGCTCGGTTAAATAAAGAATTTGAAATTTGTAATTTTTAATTTTACTGAGTAATTAGACTTTAAGTATTTCATATTGATTTCTAGTTTAATGGATAGTGGCTCGGATTGAAAAAAAGGAGAGCCAAGTTCGAATTCCAGTCGAATCTATTACATTCACTTACGTGCTAATACCCTTGTTGAAGGTATGAATCCTCTTCTTTTCTCCTGCCCCCAAGCTATGGGTAAATAGCAGGAGTGACCGGGATGGCAATTAGTCTACTGCAAGAAAGAAATGTCAACCTACTGCGGGAAAAAATCTACCCCGTTAGTCATATATTGAAAGATACATGATCGCCTAAGCATTTATCACGCATAGCACATAACTAACATCATAGCTTAGGTAAGAATGTTTCCCTATTGAGGGGTTTTGATTTGCTTTTGAATTTTCCCCAAAACTTTTTATTTCACAATCAACACTATGACTTGATAAGACACTAGAAATGTTAAAACAAATTGGCTATTTTGCTTCTTGCTTCTGTGATAATTTTTTAATCGATCGGGTGTAGCAGCAAAATTGTCCAAATTGTGTAACAATAATTGTTCATTCCTCAAAAAGTTTTCTTCTATCTATCTATCTATCTATCTATCTATCTATCTATCTATCTATCTATCTATCTCACCCTGCCCATTATCTCTCTCTCTCTCTCTCTCTATCTATCTATCTATCTATCTATCTATCTATCTCACCCTGCCCATTATCTCTCTCTCTCTCGCTCACTCTATCTATCTATCTATCTATCTCTATCTCTCTATCTATCTATCTATCTATCTATCTATCTCTATCTATCCTGCCCATTATCTCTCTCTCTCACTTCCTCTATCTATCTATCTATCTCTATCTATCTATCTATCTATCTATCTATCTCAATCTATCCTGCCCATCTTATCTCCCTCTCTCTATCTATCTATCTATCTATCTATCTATCTATCTATCTATCTATCTATCTATCTCACCCGGCCCATTATCTCTCTCTCTCTCTCTCGCTCACTCTATCTATCTATCTATCTATCTATCTATCTATCTATCTATCTATCTATCGATCTATCTATCTATCTATCTATCTAATTTCGGTGAAAAAAGAAAAGAATTAAAAAAATCTTTGACTTATGTCCCTTTTTATTTTAGTGTAGTTCATTCTTTCGATATGCCGTGTCTTTTCAGGACGTAGGCGATCATGGTTCTCCACGACTTTCTATTACATGCAGCTCTTCCGCCCTTCTGTCATCTCCCCCAGTCCACGTTCTGTCATCCATTTACTTAAGGCCGCTAGGTATATCATGTATTGTTTTTCCTTGTCTCTCTGGCCCTCTTTCCTCATTGTGTTTCCCCGTAACATCATCTGCCTCTTCCTGATATTAAATATAAGCCTCCTCCTTGTTTGCATCCTCTCTAAGACCTCATCGTTGCTCACACGCTCGGTCCATGATATCCTTAGCATCTTTCTGTAGAACCACATCTCCGTCGCCTCGAGTCTCTTCTTCATCTTTGAGGAAATCGTCCAACATTTGCTGCCGTAAAGAAGGACAGATGTCACGTAACTGCTCAGTATTCTTTTCTTTGTTACCAAAGATATCCTCCTGCCTGGTAGTACTCTGTCCAGCTTTTGGAATGCGTCCTTGGACATCCCAATACGTCTACGGATCTCAGTGTCGCACTTACTGTCCGCTGATAAGACGCTTCCCGGGTATTTTAACTTCCGAGTCTGCTTGATTCTAGTGTTCCCAACCTGCAAATCGTATTTTGGGCTCATCCTCTTACTGATGACCATGCATTCTGTTTTCTTGTAGTTTGTGCTTAGTCCCTTCTTCACACTCTCCGTCGATACCTTCTGTAGGAGATTTTGTACATGCAAACAGTAACGTTTTGTACATTGTAAACAGGATACATGAAATCTAAAGAAGGAACACGACTACATAACAGTCCAGTACACTTTTTTTTTTTCTATTGGAAATTTTTCTGTTTCTTTTTTGGAGTCTTTCATGTGTCACATCAGTTCAATCATGGCTCTCCACAGCGTTCTACCTTGTGTGTCTCTTAGCAGTTTTTCTCCCAGTTCTTTCCATCCATTTGCACAATCTCGAAGTGGCTCGTTGCTTTCTCCTTTCTCTTACCTTCAACCTGCTTCGTGAGGCTTAAGTTTTCCAAGTCCTTTTTCTTTATTCGTCTAAGTATTCATTCCCCGAGTATAAATATTCTTTCTGTTAGCATTTTCTTGAAGACTTCCTTGTTCATAACTCCATACATCCATAGAATTTTTATTAGGTTGGTGCTAAAATAATGACGTAATAATGTTGTTTTTTGGCGTATTTTTTAACGTCAAAAAACGACATTATTACGTCATTATTTTTGCACCAACCTAATAGTATCCAACTGTCATGTAAGCTTTATATAATTAGGAAGGATATTAGAATTATCCAGAACTTTTACTGGGAACGAACCGCCAGAATACGGATAGAAAATTAATTCAGTAAATATATAAAAATAGAAAAAGGTAATTATTAGTGTTTGCAAAGAAATAGAACTATTGGTCATATGATCAGATTTCCATCTGTCTTATACCCTTGCTTATTTTTGGATAAATACTGGATTCATTTTTTTTGCCAACAAAAGACATGCTCATCAACAGGATACATGAGGGTAGATGATGGATAACTGTCCAGTCCTTTTTCCTTTATTTCTATTGGAAAATTTTCATCTTTATTATGAAGTCTCTCAGGTATTTTCTCTATGTGTCGCGACTTAATACTTTACTTAACTTCTTTAAGGCATCTTTCCCTATTCCAATAATTCTTTGGATTTCATTGTCGCATTTTTCTTCCTCTGTTAATACGCTTCCGAGATATATAAATTCTAACACTTGCTTGATTTTCGTGTTTCCAGTTTGTCGTTTGCGCCTTGGGCTGTTCTTTTTACTGACAACGATATATTTTATCTTCTTACGGTTGATAGTTAGTCTTTTCTTCACGCTTTCCTTTACTAATTTCTTTAGGTCTATACGCTAATTTCAGTGTCTGAGGGCAAATACTACCATGATAAAAAATAAAAAATAAATTAAGACTAAGAAGCATTTCCTTCTTCAGATATCACTGGTTTGACTTTTCGTCATAGTACGTTTATATTTTTTACTAATATTCACCCAATCAAAGGCCCAAGAGCCACTTTATGTAGAAAGCTATCTGCCTGCTCACGATATGAATACCTTACAATTATTAAAAGGAACAATTCAAAGATAACTCTACTACACATGTTAAACATTGAAGAGAGATTAGCTACAAATGTACACGATTGACAAATGGAAGCAAATCTAGTTGGCAACACTCCACCATCTAATATAAACTTTCTATAACATTAATAACTGAAAACGAAGGATTTGCAGATATATGCTTATATGGACTTTTTTGTGTCTGGAACCAGCCCACAAAATTTGTCATAGTATTTCTGACACACACACACACACACACACACACACACACACACACACACACACACACACACTCTCTCTCTCTCTCTCTCTCTATATATATATATATATATATATATATATATATATAGAGAGAGAGAGAAAAGAGAAAGAAGAGAGAGAGGAGAGAGAGAGAAAGAGAGTGTGTGTGTGTATCAATATATATACAAATCAAAACACTGAAGGCTCATTTGTTCTTATATTATAAGATTACTACTACTACTACTAGACTACTAATAATAATAATAATAATTTATATATATATATATATATATAATTAAAAGCTATCATATCTCTTTCTCTCTCATATATATATTATATTTGTATATATATTGTTATTATTATTAGTAGTAGTAGTAGAAGTAGTAATAATCTTACAAGTATAAGAACTTATACTCGTTCGGAAAACCTTCAGTGTTTTGATTTGCAAATAATCAAACTAATACCAAAGGGGAAAATGTATGAAAAAGAAAGAACCAAGAACATGTACGTTAGTCGAAAATAATCGTCTAGCATGCAAGTCCAAAGACCAAAGAAAAAAAAACCTATACGAGTAAGCAAAATAACTAAGTAAAGCTATTCTCTCTCTTTCTCATCACACACACACACACACACACACACACACACACACACATATATATATATATATATATAGTAATGGACTTTCTCTCTTTTCGCTCTCTCTCTCTCCTATATATATATATATATATATATATATATATATATATATATAATGAGAGAGTAATAGAATAGCTTTAACACAATATTTAAAATATCGCTGTTTGATGATATGTACAACTATTTTCTAGTTAGTAAATATTTTTACTTAATAATAATAATACTTTTATATTTTTACTTAATAATAAAAGTGGAAAAATTAGAGAAATTTAAACGATTTAAAACTTAATAAATTATTCTCTAAACAACAAACAAAATGTCGTTAGCTAGTAGGAGAATTTATATTAATATTTGGGTAATATTCAATGGCGGCACACTCGAGAATTTTCCTTCTGAGCGAATTTTTTATTTTTTTTAGTGTAGTATTTATAAAATAAAAATTATGGCTGAATTTATTTCTTTTATGACTAGAGCATTTGTGAAATTGCTATTTATGAGAACTCTTTGTGCTCATAGCGTATTTTTAAAGAAAATTCTGCATGTTTGTGAATGTGCTTTCAGTGTGTGTTTCTTCTTTAGGTAAAGATTCGAGGCTAAAGAAGAAACATACAACCGTAACAGAAGGAAAATCCTCGAGAGTGCTGCCATTGAATATTATTCGAATATTAACCTAGGCCAAGATTTTTTCCCAATATCACCTTTCCTAAAAGAATCACTACTCTCCCAAGCCAACGGACACAACAAATATATCAAGAAATAAAAATAAAAAAACGGTTGAATCCATAAACACAACAATACAAACAATATGTCTACGTGTGAAATTATTCTCTTCAAACAAAGTAATTGACGTAATTTTATAAATTTTGAAGTAGGTTGTCAAAGAATCCCTAGAGTATGAGAAAAATCAGTGAAAAGTTTAGAACGTCTGTATGATCAATCCTTAAAAGATACCAACCAAATGAAAGAAAGATCCAGGTCATTACAAGAAAGTTTCCATAAGAATTTTCCTCTAAAAGAAAAAATACCAGGTATGGTGCTTACAGCATGTATTTATTTCAGTGCTATTATGGCCCCTACTTGTATATAAATTTGAACCGAATACAGTTGAGACAATGGAAAGAAAGATAAATAAATATATTTTAAGACATTTTTTGTTTATACGTTCTTTTTATAGATACAAATATTTACGTAAATGCTCAGTTTATAATAAACAGTATTAACGACATTCACCGGCCTGAATGTCCGAGAAATTTTCATAGAAAATATTCGTCCTCCGACAAATTTCTCGAACACATGTAAATGTTGTTAATACTGTTTATTATAAACAGAACATTCACTTAAATATTTGTATCTATAAAAAGAACGTATAAACAAAGAACATGTCTTAAAATAATTGTCGGACTTTGTCGATTTCATAATGTATAAATAAATATACCCGAAAATGGTTGGGTTTACCTCCAGATCTTTCTGACATTGCATTGTTCTGCAGACAAGCAAAGCTAAGGTTGGCATTTAAATCAATTGTGGAGGAATACAAATCTGGAAATATCAGACTTCAGAGGATGTTGGATGACTCCAGGAATAAAGTAATATAAGTATTAAATCCTACATTTAAAACGGGGAGAAAGTGTTATGTCGAGGAGACTATATCAAGGGCTAAAGACAATCTAACTTTCTATGAAGTCATAGGATACACCCAAACAGGGAAACAAGTGTTAGGACTAAATAAAAGGCTGTAGTGGTTGAAAATATTTGGTAAAGATCGCCATGGTCATCCAAAACGTAAAGAATGAAAAAGATAATAAAAGAACTGTAAATGGAGTACAAGAATATCAACAAGGCCAATGGACAAACTGGGAGGAGGCTCTGCAAAAATCTATTACTTGGAAGGACATTTTGCAGATATCTCTACTCAGGTTGAGTTTTTTAATACGTTCCATATATGACCTGCTATCATCTAAGAACAATCTTGTTAAATGGAAGAAATAAAGCGATACAATCTGTCCCCTGTTT